TAATAAAAATCAATATTTATAATAAATTAGAATAAGTCGTAGTTGTAAGTTGTACAATAAATTCGTTATATTCACAACTCGGCGTTTCTATGGTCCTTCGAGTTATATATGTGGTACAATTGTACAAAAAGTTCAAATCAATCATTTGAATATTTCGAACGTAAAAAACATGCCTCTAATATGTCTCTGACTAGACCTTCATGCCTGAGAAGGTGTCTTACCAACCTATCTCGCCTATTTTTTATTGACTTCCATAGAGTTCTGACTATTTAATTAATAATTAACTTGTTTTTTGTTACAGGATGCGCGAATATGTCGAAGAGAACGAAAAAAACGATCCACTAATTCACGCCCCGGACAAGAAAAACAACCCTTGGGCCGAAAAGGGAAAGTGTACAGTCATGTAGAATTTCGATTCTGCATGTTTCAAGTCAAAGTTCATTCCTGTTATGTATTTAATTTACATATAATTATTGTTGTTCTCCGCTGCAACTTTTTATTCTCCACCCGCTTCTCTTTCGCATATCGGTTGTATACCGCGTGTCCCGTTACTCGGACATGACGATTAAAAATTTAAATATATGAGAAAAAAAAACTTGCAAAAACAATTTACTTACTTAAAAAAATAAAATATATACGAAGAACAATCATAGCTGTACAACGTCGAGGATTGAGATTATTATCTGACACCCCTTTTTATTAGGGCTTATTTATGGTAGTGGACATAGTACATGTTGTATAATGCGGAAACTTACTCAATTTTTGATAACTTATTAAAATATAAATTATGTGTTACTAGTCATAGGATTTTTTATCGAAGAAAAGTTGTGATTGAATACGATTTGAAAATATGAATATCTACGAAACGATTTGGGATTTATTTTCGACATTTAACTATAGAAAATACCTTTCTTTATTAATTAGTTTTTTCTTTTGTTGGTTTAGGTAGATAGTCATTTTGTTGTTGCTTAGGAATAGTTAAAAAAAATACAATAAAATGCGTTTATCTTTCCAGTCTCGCAAATTTTAACGAAAAGTTCAGACGTTTGGATAAGAATTTTTTTAAAGCGATTTTAACTTTGACCTTTTAATAATGAGGTCTTGTAGAACCACACTATATCGGCTTGTTGCCTTAGCTGAAATTTTCATTTCATGGTTGACAAGGTTTACGCTATTCATAGCTGCATCGTAGTAGTTTGAGAACCTTTTCTATCTTTTATATCCTTTCAATCGATATGTATAAATAGGGATAATAATATAAATATTAGTTATACACAGGATTTTATAAAAATGAAATAAATAACCAACATCATCGGAACTTTTGCGATTTTACGTATCTATACCTTACATAAGGTGTTTACCTGTAGATATACTTCTACCTATTAATAAGTATATTAAATAATAATCCTTTTTAATTATATTAGATATGTAACTTATTGAGCATACTATAGCCTAGTAATTATGAAAAATATTTAATTATTTTACCTCTAATAGAATTTACGTAGAGTAACATAGAGTAAACAGGAAACTAGAAGTCGATATTTTCAGGATATGCAGCGATAAGGTTTAAAATATCGAAATCACTTGTCCATTTCCTTCCTTTAGTAATGTTTGTTACAATAGTAAAGCTATAAATTTACAAAAAAAAAACTATCCAAACGTCTGAGAAGGCTGGGACTGAAAAGAAATTTGTCCTTTTGTAGGTCCAAGTGTTTTAATTAAAACAATTCGTACATTACGTAATTATATGTAATAAGTACGTAATATTAAAGCTCAGTTGTAATTTATACTGCTTATAATTTAAATTAGATTTTTAATTTTGTGCAATTCTAGTCAAAAGAGCCATCTGTGAACATAAAGAACATTTAAAGACAAACAAATTGATAATTATAAAGGCAGTATTTTAAACATCGACATTAAGTATTATTATTAAACAATACAATACCAACTAGAAAACAGGAAAAAAGAAAAGTATTAATATTAATTTGTTTCTCATTTATTTATTTGTTTATTAATTCGTT